TAGTCTAGTCTATAGTCTAGTCTATAGTCTAGTCTATAGTCTAGTCTATAGTCTAGTCTATGCTCTAGTCTAGCTAGTCTAGTCTATAGTCTAGTTCCATACGTTCTAGTCCTATAGTCTAGTCTATAGGTCCTAGTCTCTACCTAGTCTATCGCCTAGTCTATTGTCTAGTCTATAGTATAGTTCTAAAGTCTTATCCTATAGTCTAGTTTATAGTCTAGTGCTATCGTCTAGTCTATTAGTCTAGTTCTATAGTCTAGCCTATAGTTCTAGTCTATAGTCTAGCCTATAGTTTAGTACTATAGTCTAGTCTCTAGTCTAGTCTATTGTCAAGTTTATTGTCTAGTCTTATAGTTTAGTCTATGGTCGAATCTAGTCCCTTAGTTTGGTCTATATTCTAGCCTTTACAGTCTAGTCGTCAGATTGGATTTACAGATACCAAGTTAAATATGACCCAAAAACGGCCTTTTGATGAAGATATTTTGATGCCAGAAAATTTAATGAACTCTTAATGGGTTAAAAATGCATAAATATCACTCAATTGAAAGCTTAATTTCTGTTTTGATTAAGCTTAAGTCAAATAATAATAAAAACGCATTTGGAAATTTTTGAAAAAAAATACATATCTGCAAATAAATGAATAATGAATGACAGACATCAAATAATTTATATTCAAATATTTCTATTTTTTCAATTGCACTTTTTTCACTTTACTCTTAATCATCATACTATTATTATGGCTTTTATCTTGGCAAAAAGCAAAAAATAATCAACACTTGAGTTACATTAAAAATAAATCAAAGTTAAGTGTTTGTCACATAAAAAACAAAAACGTAAAACAAAATGAGCAAAAATGAAAATTAAACTCTTAAAAAAAGAAAAAGATATTTCTTAAATATTGCAGTCGTTTAGCAAATGTACCTAAAAGACCCACACGTTTTTAAGGTGTACCAACATTTGCAGTAGTATTACTTTTTTTTCTTTAATATAAAATTTTATAAACTTATCTTTTTTTCTTATTGTTATTGTATTTGTGAAAAACCTCGACTGTCGTACTTATTCGAGTTAATCTTGATCTTTGCATCTAAATTAGTGACACTCGTTGTTTGTTTTTGTTATAATTAAAATTATCATAAAAACTAAATAGTATTATTGTGAATTCACTGCTGATGGTTGACTTTGGAAAGCCAGTTGAATATTGTTTTTGGTTTCGTATTGTTTTCTTTTTTTTTCACTTTATTTTATATTGCAAAATAAGTACAAAGGTAGTTATGGTATCTAAGCAGTTGTTTAAAGGAGTGAAATGTTAAAAAGAAGTATTTCTTATGGAAAGAACGATTGAAGATCATTTAAAATTAAATACACTCAAAAAAAGGTTGGAGTCAGTTGTACTCAAATCAGTCTAGTGAACCAAGTATGAAATACTTGATTCAAGTACGGATCCGTTAAGTACGAAGAAACTATGTTAAGCCTTTTTAGGGTCAAAGTCATCTTTCAATGTACTTATTTTGAGAATTTTCGGTTTGATTTAATCTTGATTTGAGATAAAAATAATATTGATTTATGCATGTGAATTAATCCCAAAATTGGCTTGATTCGAGCTTGATTTGAACTTGATTTCGGAAATAAAGTTAATCTTTGTATGTGAGTTTTTCTTTGGTGTACAAGATCTTCTTTTTGAGGTTTGATAAATGTTTATCATTGATGTAATACAAGTCAGTTATCGCTGCCTTTTGTAGTACCAAAGTCAACTATATATGCAACCATGATTTTTCTTAATGGTAGAACCCCAAAATTTTTTTCCTTCAACAATTTTAAAGGATTTCAAAAGAACTTTCTTGTGTTCCGATTTCCGGTATTTCTTAATCCGAAATTGATAATAATTAAAAATGAATAATATAAAGTCTCTAGGCTTCCCTTAAAAGAATAGAGGAGATATAAAAACATATGTTAGAATAAACCTAATTTGAAAATGATTAAATAGGAATCGGAATGTTGTGGGCCAGAGGCAAAACTGTTAATTCTGATTTTCAAATTCTTATAGACAGTGGCTATGTCATTGAACACTACAACTCATGAAAAAGAAACTGATAAAAAGATATCTCTAACAGAACCAAATCCTAAGAGTAAATCCCTTTTAAACACTCTAAGGAACCATAAAATTCGGAAACGTTCCCTGAAAGTTTAAGCAGCAGTGATGAATAAATTAAAGCAGAAAAGTCAAGTAAGCTTTCAAATCCAAAGAAAACGCTTTCGTCTCTAGTAAAACCCTATATTGATTATCATATTAACCTAGTTCCGAGACGCTTAATTCTAATTTGCTAAAGAACAGACCCAAGATGCCGTTTATGGTTCCATAAAAGACTACAAATTCTGAAAATGAAACATAAATGAAGGTAACACAACACAACCAGAGTGCAAACCTCTATTACCATTTTTTAAGAATCAAAAACTCCGGAAACTTTCACCTGAGCTTATGAGTAAATCTCCACAGACCACTTTACAAGATTCACAAATTCCGGGAACTTTCTCTAGGTCTCTTAGTTATAATTTTAGCAAATTGTTGTCCATATATATGATCTGAAATCGTTGGACATAGAATCGAGACATACACAAATCCTTAGGTTAGTTGGTAGTATCTAGTCTGTTACTTAGAAGGACTCCGGAAACTTTCACCTGAGCTTATGAGTAAATCTCCACAGACCACTTTACAAGATTCACAAATTCCGGGAACTTTCTCTAGGTCTCTAAGTTATAATTTTAGCAAATTGTTGTCCATATATATGATCTGAAATCGTTGGACATAGAATCGAGACATTCACAAATCCTTAAGTTAGTTGGTAGTATCTAGTCTGTTACTTAGAAGGACTCCGGAAACTTTCACCTGAGCTTATGAGTAAATCTCCACAGACCACTTTACAAGATTCACAAATTCCGGGAACTTTCTCTAGGTCTCTAAGTTATAATTTTAGCAAATTGTTGTCCATATATATGATCTGAAATCGTTGGACATAGGATCGAGACATACACAAATTCTTAAGTTAGTTGGTAGTATCTAGTCTGTTACTTAGAAGGACTCCGGAAACTTTCACCTGAGCTTATGAGTAAATCTCTACAGACCACTTTGCAAGATTCACAAATTCCGGGAACTTTCTCTAGGTCTCTAAGTTATAATTTTAGCAAATTGTTGTCCATATATATGATCTGAAATCGTTGGACATAGAATTGAGACATACACAAATCCTTAAGTTAGTTGGTAGTATATAGTCTGTTACTTAGAAGGACTCCGGAAACTTTCACCTGAGCTTATGAGTAAATCTCCACAGACCACTTTACAAGATTCACAAATTCCGGGAACTTTCTCTAGGTCTCTAAGTTATAATTTTAGCAAATTATTGTCCATATATATGATCTAAAATCGTTGGACATAGAATCGAGACATACACAAATCCTTAAGTTAGTTGGTAGTATATAGTCTGTTACTTAGAAGGACTCCGGAAACTTTCACCTGAGCTTATGAGTAAATCTCCACAGACCACTTTACAAGATTCACAAATTCCGGGAACTTTCTCTAGGTCTCTAAGTTATAATTTTAGCAAATTGTTGTCCATATATTTGATCTGAAATCGTTGGACATAGAATCGAGACATACACAAATCCTTAAGTTAGTTGGTAGTATCTAGTCTGTTACTTAGAAGGACTCCGGAAACTTTCACCTGAGCTTATGAGTAAATCTCTACAGACCACTTTACAAGATTCACAAATTCCGGGAACTTTCTCTAGGTCTCTAAGTTATAATTTTAGCAAATTGTTGTCCATATGTATGATCTGAAATCGTTGGACATAGAATCGAGACATACACAAATCCTTAGGTTAGTTGGTAGTATCTAGTCTGTTATTTAGAAGGTCGTGAAGGTGTGGGAAAAACCAACTTATGTCAAATTGTTTGATCTGAAATTGTGGACAAATGATTTCATACATTCAAACTCCGAATAAGTATTTAAACAACTGATATCTTTTTCTTTCTTTACTTTTTTCTAAATAATTTTTTGGCATTTAACATTTGTTATTAAAACCGTTCGCTCACATTTGAAAACTTTATCATGTTCTGATCTTCTGTGGTTTGTTTGTCGATTTAAAAATAAAGACAGCGAAAGAGAGAAAAAATACTGAAATTATTATTATTCACACCATCAGTAAAAGCTTGTCGTTATCGTGCTTGTTTTATTGTATTTTTTTTTTAATACTACTATATACTATTTTATTATTAACATTATTATTATGCGCTTCTTACTTTCCATTGTTGTGATTTCTTTCAATGTTGTTTGAGGTTGATGTTGTTTCTTGTAGCATTTGCAGAATTGAAATAAAGGTATTCCAGACTAAGTAATTTCTGTCGGTTTGTCTGTTTGTTTGTTTGCATGTATGATTTTTTTTTATGATTGAAGGTGCTGTTAGTTTGTAACTCATTTTCTGTATAATTTTCATTATTTTGTTTATTTGCTTGTGAAGAAAACTATTTTTTTTAACAAAAAAATACCATTGATATTATATGGTTATTTCTTACCATCTTCTTCTTCTTCTGTCTTGGCCTGGGTATTTTATATGAATATTTAACCGTTGTTGTTCCACTTTTCAATGTTTTATTTTCTTATATATTTTGCAAAAAGAGGGGTCGTGAACAAATACTCTCGGAATGTACATTTATACACGTATTATACATATTATTAAAAAAACGCAAGAGTTTAAAAAGGTTGACTCATTAAAGTTGCTGTTGGAAATGAAAAAAATATATTTTTTAATAAGAAATGTTGACCAATGTTTGCAAGGATTTTGCACTTTAAAACTTTTTCCAGGTCTTTAGTTTAAAATGTAGGTCTCAAAGTAAAAGTAAGCTTGAAATGCTTCATATCTATCAAATCGTTCCTAACTTTTATATAGCTTTTCCCATATATAAGTTTAACTATCTAATCCTTATAAAAATTTTCTTCCAATTTCAGTAAATTCCGCCCGAAATCTATTATGCAAGGGCAAAAACAATACCAACAATTGCTTTGTAACCATTGGTCTGGGCAAAGAGAAATATCAGACATCGGTTAAGGAAAAGGCTGAATCAAAAGTGGAATGGAAAGAAGAATGTGAACTGTAAGTTTAAGACAATTAAGCTAAAATTACTCTTAACTTTACAAAAATGTATTTCCTTTTAAATTCCAGTAAAATTCCCGATCAAGGCAATCGTGCTGAGCTTGTTCTCACCTGTTTGCATCGCAACAATTTGGGTATAGATGAATTCTTGGGACAAGTTACTCTGCCGCTCAATGAAATGGACGCCTATGTGCGTTCCAAAGCTAAATGGTATAAACTGGAAAGTAAACCGGGCAAAGAGAAAAAGAACAAAGAACGTGGTGAACTAGAAGTAGAGATATCATTCACCGTCAAATCTGGCTCTTTAACCGATTTGAGTAAAAAAGAAAAACACAAGTCTTCCATAGGACAGTTGGCTTCATCGGTGGGTGGAAGTTTATTGTCGATTAGTACCATTGAAAAGCGTAAAGGTATTAAGAAAATTGCCAAAAAATTCGGTTCGAAACTGCATCTGAGCGGTAGTGGTAAGAAAAAGAATAAAGATGATGATGATATGTCATACACGGGCTCCTTTGCTAGTATTGGCACACCGAATCGTGTCAGAGTGCCGGATAGCGATGATGAAGATGAGTTTCAATTCGATAAGTTGTCACAAAAGAGTTCGGTTAGTTCTCTAAATATGCGTGATGGTTTACAGCCTCCTTCTCAAAACTATACGCCAAGAAATCCTTCACCCTTGATGGGTTCCACCGGTAAAGGTCAAATAGGTAAGGATCATCACTTCAGATATGATGGATCAGACAATCTCAGTGTGGATCCAGAATTGGAAGAAATTGAAAATGAATTTAGCATAAGAGCGCGTACTTTACCACCTCCTTCAAAACCTCCACGCACACCTCAAATGGATGGAGGCGAAATGAAAACAAATGGCAAAAGTAACTCAGAATTGGATGAATGGGAATCTAAATTATATGGACGTAGTGCTGAGTCTGGTAATTCTGATTCGTTAAAGCGCCGATCCTGGGAGCCGGTGGCGGTGCCTTTGAAAACTACCACTTATGAAGAAGAAACAGAAAAGGAGTTACCCCTCACAGAACCAGAGCCTATGAGTAAATCTCTTTTACCCACTTTACAAGAATCACAAACTCCTGAAAGTTTCTCCGATAGTTCAAGCAGCAGTGATGAAGAAATTGAGGCAGAAAAACCAAAACAAGTTGTTGTGACTCCTTTGAGACCAGCAAGTGAGGAAAAATCCAAGGTAATAACTTCCTCTCCAATAAAACCCACTGATCTCAAACTATTGACTCCAAGTGACAATGGCGAAATTGTTAAAAAAGATTCCCTACTCTCACCAGATGTGGATAAAAATGAATTTGCCAAATTTAATGCTTCCTTTGCTAAATTTGAACAGAGAAACAGTTCCAAATTCTTTGATATTGGTGAAGAAACAAATAATTTCCTTAAAAATGAATCTCTAACATCTGGTGTTAACCAACCACAGCCCAAACCCAGAGCAAGAATTTCGCCTATGGTGGAAAAGGAGGATAATAGCAAAAAAGCTTTAGAGGAAGAAGCAAAACGCAAACGTGACGCCGAAGATGCTCGTTTAGAAGCTGAATTAAAAGAAAATGAAAGACGCCTTAAAGAAGAGGAAGAAGCTTTACAAAAAGAATTGCGTGAGAAAGAAGAAGAGGAAAAGAGACGAGAAGCCAAACGTCGTGAAGAAGATTTTAGAATTTTAAATTTCTCCAAACGTCTAGTGTCACAAGAAGATAAACCCGAAGAAAAGCCACAAGAAAAAATCATTGAACCTTTGGTCAATAATAAAGAACAATATAAAGAGGAAAAGAAACTAGAAATCAATAATAAAAAAGAACGCCAATTCAACATAAACCGAGGTGAGCGTGAGAGAATTGCAGTGGAAAAACAAATAAAGCAAAGAAAACAAAACAAATTAAATCAGCGTTTTGAGCGAATATAAATGTTATTGTGTTTGTGGCAAGAAAAACACCTTAATAAAAATTTGTTTTATTAATTTTTATTTCCATGCCAGAATCCTTACATGTTTATTTTGTTTCCCCCCACCAAAATAAAATCCCACTGAAGATATTGTCTATCCAATTGTTACCGTTTCTTTTTTTTAAGTTATAAACAAAATTCTTTACACATTTTATTTAATATCTAACGATGTTGCATTTGTAATTTGTCCTTATTCAGTAGAAACTATTCAAAAACACAATTTGGAATGCTAATTATAATAATTTTGTAAATTGTTTGGTCTATTTGCACCACAAACACAAAAGAAAACATTCATAACACTCATTTACTACGCATGTTTATTTGCTTTATTTATTGCTATGGTTATAATTACTAAGTTAAAAGTAAAATTTATTAAGCTAAATTTTCTTTACTTCATTTTATATAGAAAAACAAACGATTAGTAACGCCTCTACGCCTAGTCCCAAACAAAATGAACGCATTATTATAGGCCATGAAAAAGCCACCACACAAGCGGAAAGACGTGCTGAAATCTCAGCCGCATTAGCCAAAAAATATGAAGGCAAATCAAGAGAGGTATTTTATTATAATTTTTCATTTTAAAAATTTTAATTTAATTTATATTATTTTTTGTTTACTTTAGGAACTTATGCTTATAGCCAATGGCATGGAAAATGAAGCCTTAATACAAAGACAACGTGTCAAAGAACTTGAAGATTATTTAGACAATTTATTATTAAGAGTTATGGAAACACATCCCAAAATCTTACAAAATCCCTACTCACGAACAACTTCTGCTAAGAGGTAAGTTTCTTGTTTTAACTTTTTCTTTGGCTTAATTAAGCATGTATTTTTAAAGATTCAGTTTAGTTTCTTGTTGTTTATCTTTTCACTTTACCTTTTTTTATATGCTTTTTGTTTTGCTAAAATTATTTGATGTGACTAGATTATTTTTTTATATAATTTTTAATTTTATGTTTTTGTTAAGTTTGTTTTAATTTGATGGCAAGTTTTTGAAAGACAATTTCTTTTTAAATCATAAATTGTGCATAAATTCTTAGAGGATTAAGGTAACTATTTCAAAAATAAGCATGTTGAGTTTTTCTGTTGCATTTGCACGTTTTGCATTAACATATTTTCAAAAGCTTAATATTCAATACGTTATCGTTTGCCAATATTATCGATATATATTCATACATACATACATAAGGGTAGCTAATGTTCCTAGTCTATAAACTAGACTATAGATTAGACTAATCTATAGACTAGAGCATAGTCTAGTCTATAGACTAGACTATAGACTAGACTATAGACTAGACTATAGACTAGACTATAGACTAGACTATAGACTACTCTATAGACTAGACTATAGACTAGACTATAGACTAGACTAGACTATAGACTAGACTATAGACTAGACTATAGACTAGACTATAGACTAGACTATAGACTAGACTATAGACTAGACTATAGACTAGATTATAGACTAGACTATAGACTAGACTATAGACTAGACTATAGACTAGACTATAGACTAGACTATAGACTAGACTATAGACTAGACTATAGACTAGACTATAGACTAGACTATAGACTAGACTATAGACTAGACTATAGACTAGACTATAGACTAGACTATAGACTAGACTATAGACTAGACTATAGACTAGACTATAGACTAGACTAGACTATAGACTAGACTATAGACTAGACTATAGACTAGACTATAGACTAGACTATAGACTAGACTATAGACTAGACTATAGACTAGACTATAGACTAGACTATAGACTAGACTATAGACATAGACTAGACTATAGACTAGACTATAGACTAGACTATAGACTAGACTATAGACTAGACTATAGACTAGACTATAGACTAGACTATAGACTAGACTAAGACTAGACTATAGACTAGACTATAGACTAGACTATAGACTAGACTATAGACTAGACTATAGACTAGACTAGACTATAGACTAGACTATAGACTAGACTATAGACTAGACTATAGACTAGACTATAGACTAGACTATAGACTAGACTATAGACTAGACTATAGACTAGACTATAGACTAGACTATAGACTAGACTATAGACTAGACTATAGACTAGACTATAGACTAGACTATAGACTAGACTATAGACTAGATAGACTAGACTATAGACTAGACTATAGACTAGACTATAGACTAGACTATAGACTAGGCTATAGACTAGACTATAGACTAGACTATAGACTAGACTATAGACTAGACTATAGACTAGGCTATAGACCAGGCTATAAACAGGTCACGTAATTCTTCTTGTAAAGATTCTGTCTTTTTAAAGACGCCTTTCATTTTCTTTTAATTCGGCTTCTAAATGAGCATCTTCAGCTTCACGTTTGCGATTTTCTTCTTCCTCTAAAGCTTTTTTGCTATTAATCTCCTTTTCCACTATAGGCGAAATTCTTGCTCTTGGTTTTGGCTGTGGTTGGTTAACACCAGATGTTAGAGATTCATTTTTAAGGAAATTATTTGTTTTTTCACCAATATCAAAGAATTTGGAACTGTTTAAATTTAGCATTAAATTTGCAAATTAATTTTTTCCACATCTGGTGTGAGAATCTTTTTTTAACCATTTCGCCTTTATCTTTGAGCCAATAGTTTGAAATAAGTGGGTTTTATTGGAGAGGAAGTTTTCCCTCACTTGCTTTAGGTTTTCTGCCTCAACTTCTTCACCACTACTGTTGAAACTGTCGGAAAAGGTTTCAGGATTTTGGGATTCTTGTAAAGTGTGTAATAGAGATTTTCTCATAGGCTCTGGTTCTGTGAGGGGTAACACCTTTTCTGTTTCTTCTTCATAAGTGGTAGTTTTCAAAGGCATTTAATTTAAATATTTTGTCTTTCATTTCAAAAACATATTAAACAAAAAAACTAAAAACTAAAAACCAACAAGAACATCCATATAATTAGTGTAGTTTCTCTTTAGCTTATGATCGGCTTAAAATAAAACTTACCTACCTTATTCGTGCACCACCAAAAAAACACAAAATTTTTCATAATTTCATTTTCATTTTGCACACACATTTATTCATCTAAATGTTTGTCTGTATGTTTCTTTTTTGTATTGTATTTTTTTTTGTATTATTTTTTTATGTAAGCGAAAATGAAAGAAAAGCATTAACGAAATTTTTAATTTAGTTTTAAAAATTACATCAATATGAACGATTTTTTGTAAGAATGCTAAAAAAATAAAGTAAGAAAAACAAACGATGCACGTTAAAAACAAAATCAAAAAACCTACATACAACCTACCTTGTACTACTACTACTATGCATGAACTCTAGGAATTTATGAAGATCACTGTGAAAAAATGATAAAAGGCACCAAGTAAGATACATTTTAAATATTTTTTTTTAAGTTTTATTTTTTATTTGTTTTGTTTCGTTTAAATTAATGCTTAATAACGTAAAAATAAGAGAAATTTAATTCCTTAGTTTAAAGGAAAGAACATAATTTCATAAATATTAAACGCTTTTTTATGAAAAATCTAACTATTTATTAATTTTATTACTAAATTTAAAATTGAACCTTGAAAATTTTAATTTGTTTTAATTACAGCGGTTGAGAATCATTGTTACACTTCTGCAAAAACCAATTAAACCATCATCACAAATGAAAGGAAGATGTTCTGAATTCATCACCATATTGCCTTTGAAGTGCAAAACTAAAGTGCTTTTATTGTATTTTGTTGAAATCTATGATATTTTTTTATAAATTACAATTTTTTAAACTAATTAACTAAACTACTACTATTTTAAATAAATAACTTTAAAATAATTACTATTTAATAAACAAATATAACAGTTTTTATAAAAGAAACATTAAGGCAATATTACTATTGTAACAAAACTTTTGTAACAAAAACCTATTTCCTAATAATTTCCAAAATTTCTTGTTATTTTCAAAAGTATTGTTTTTATACGCTGTCCTTCTACTCTTCTATTAAATGTAATACCTATAAAGATTTGCTATTTATCTATCACTAAGCTTTCTTTAACTTTATAAATATGATTAAAAAAAAATCAACAAAATTTCTTAGTTTTTAAGTTATAGTTTAATATTAACAATAATAATAATAATTGTAAAACATTTATATTTATTATTTAAAATCAACAAGATACTAACCATAATTAGAAAAACTTGAGAATTATTTTAAGCTTTTAAATCCAACAGAATTTGTGTTAAATCTTGTTTTTTAAACAAATTTTATATAAAAAACCCTAAAAACCAAGTATTTTTTTTATTGATTCACTTTGTATTATTGTTATTTGTTTTTACTGATTATTAACTCTGTCTCTATCTAAATTTATTACTTATAATAATGTACGTATTTAATTTTTTTTATATTTGTATTATTTTATAATTTAAATCAAAAACTGTTAACTTTAAATATATCTACATAAATAATAAAATAAAATTTATATTTAATATTAAAAATCTCTCATTTTTCATTTAAATTACTTATTAAAGCCTTTTATTAAGTTTAAATTAAAAAAAAAAACGTTAAAAAGTTCATGTAAATTTTCAAAAGTCTGGCAACCCTATTAACACCTAAAATTAGCGCCATCTATTGGTAGCCTATTGGCTAGTTTTGCAACAACATGTCAGTCTGGCAACATTGACGCAAAAATGACATGCCGCTATGGAAAAACATCTGGCAACTCTGTACAAAATTTTAAAAATTACTAGAGTTGCCAGATCGTTTTCCATAGTGGCATGTCATTTTTCAGCCAATATTGCCAGACTGTCATGCAGTTTGCAATAATAGCCAATAGGCAACCAATAGATGGCGCCGTTATTAGGTTGTAACAGCGTTGCCAGACTTATGAATATTTACATGAAAAATTTAACGGATTTTTTAAATTTAAACTCTTTTCTTGTCATTTAAACTGAATAAAACAAATAAATAAGTCATTTTATGCATTTTTTTTGTAAACGTTTTATTTAAATAAATATTATATTACATTTTCTGTTTGTATTTATGAATTTAATACCACTTAAGTCCCAAACAATTAATCTAAAAGAGAAAAGTATATATATTTAAATTTTCTATAATATCGAACCTATTAAAATAAAATTAACATTCAGAATCCTGCGTACATGTAAATCTATAGAAACAACATAGACTAGACTATAGACTAGACCATAGACTAGACTATAGACTAGACTATAGACTAGACTATAGACTAGACTATAGACTAGACTATAGACTAGACTATAGACTAGACTATAGACTGACTATAGACTAGACTATAGACTAGACTATAGACTAGAATGATAGACTAGACTATAGACTAGCTAAGACTAGACTAAGACTAGACTATAGACTTAGACTATAGCCTAGACTAAGCGCTAGAATATAGACTAGACTATAGACTAGGGACTATAGCCTAGACTATAGACTAGACTATAGACTAGACTATAGACTAGACTATAGACTAGACTATAGACTAGACTATAGACTAGACTATAGACTAGACTATAGACTAGACTATAGACTAGACTATAGCCTAGACTATAGACTAGACTATAGACTAGACTATAGACTAGACTATAGACTAGACTATAGACTAGACTATAGACTAGACTATAGACTAGACTATAGACTAGACTATAGACTAGACTATAGACTAGACTATAGACTAGACTATAGACTAGACTATAGACTAGACTATAGACTAGACTATAGACTAGACTATAGACTAGACTATAGACTAGACTATAGACTAGACTATAGACTAGACTATAGACTAGACTATAGACTAGACTATAGACTAGACTATAGACTAGACTATAGACTAGACTATAGACTAGACTATAGACTAGACTATAGACTAGACTATAGACTAGACTATAGACTAGACTATAGACTAGACTATAGACTAGACTATAGACTAGACTATAGACTAGACTATAGACTAGACTATAGACTAGACTATAGACTAGACTATAGACTAGACTATAGACTAGACTATAGACTAGACTATAGACTAGACTATAGACTAGACTATAGACTAGACTATAGACTAGACTATAGACTAGACTATAGACTAGACTATAGACGACTATAGACTAGACTATAGACTAGACTATAGACTAGACTATAGACTAGACTATAGACTAGACTATAGACTAGACTATAGACTAGACTATAGACTAGACTATAGACTAGACTATAGACTAGACTATAGACTAGACTATAGACTAGACTATAGACTAGACTATAGACTAGACTATAGACTAGACTATAGACTAGACTATAGACTAGACTATAGACTAGACTATAGACTAGACTATAGACTAGACTATAGACTAGACTATAGACTAGACTATAGACTAGACTATAGACTAGACTATAGACTAGACTATAGACTAGACTATAGACTAGACTATAGACTAGACTATAGACTAGACTATAGACTAGACTATAGACTAGACTATAGACTAGACTATAGACTAGACTATAGACTAGACTATAGACTAGACTATAGACTAGACTATAGACTAGACTATAGACTAGACTATAGACTAGACTATAGACTAGACTATAGACTAGACTATAGACTAGACTATAGACTAGACTATAGACTAGACTATAGACTAGACTATAGACTAGACTATAGACTAGACTATAGACTAGACTATAGACTAGACTATAGACTAGACTATAGACTAGACTATAGACTAGACTATAGACTAGACTATAGACTAGACTATAGACTAGACTATAGACTAGACTATAGACTAGACTATAGACTAGACTATAGACTAGACTATAGACTAGACTATAGACTAGACTATAGACTAGACTATAGACTAGACTATAGACTAGACTATAGACTAGACTATAGACTAGACTGACTATAGACTAGACTATAGACTAGACTATAGACTAGACTATAGACTAGACTATAGACTAGACTATAGACTAGACTATAGACTAGACTATAGACTAGACTATAGACTAGACTATAGACTAGACATAGACTAGACTATAGACTAGACTATAGACTAGACTATAGACTAGACTATAGACTAGACTATAGACTAGACTATAGACTAGACTATAGACTAGACTATAGACTAACTAGACAACTATAGACTAGACTATAGACTAGACTATAGACTAGACTATAGGACTAGACTATAGACTAGACTATAGACTAGACTATAGACTAGACTATAGACTAGACTATAGACTAGACTATAGACTAGACTATAGACTAGACTATAGACTAGACTATAGACTAGACTATAGACTAGACTATAGACTAGACTATAGACTAGACTATAGACTAGACTATAGACTAGACTATAGACTAGACTATAGACTAGACTAAGACTAGACTATAGACTAGACTATAGACTAGACTATAGACTAGACTATAGACTAGACTAATAGACTAGGACTATAGACTATAGACTAGCTTAGACTAGACTATAGACTAGACTATAGACTAGACTATAGACTAGACTATAGACTAGACTATAGACTAGACTATAGACTAGACTATAGACTAGCTATAGACTAGACTATAGACAGACTATAGACTAGACGTATAGACTAGACTATAGACTAGACTATAGACTAGACTATAGACTAGACTATAGACTAGACTATAGACTAGACTATAGACTAGACTATAGACTAGACTATAGACTAGACTATAGACTAGACTATAGACTAGACTATAGACTAGACTATAGACTAGACTATAGACTAGACTATAGACTAGACTATAGACTAGACTATAGACTAGACTATAGACTAGACTATAGACTAGACTATAGACTAGACTATAGACTAGACTATAGACTAGACTATAGACTAGACTATAGACTAGACTATAGACTAGACTATAGACTAGACTATAGACTAGACTATAGACTAGACTATAGACTAGACTATAGACTAGACTATAGACTAGACTATAGACTAGACTATAGACTAGACTATACTAGACTATAGACTAGACTATAGACTAGACTATAGACTAGACTATAGACTAGACTATAGACTAGACTATAGACTAGACTATAGACTAGACTATAGACTAGACTATAGACTAGACTATAGACTAGACTATAGACTAGACTATAGACTAGACTATAGACTAGACTATAGACTAGACTATAGACTAGACTATAGACTAGACTATAGACTAGACTATAGACTAGACTATAGACTAGACTATAGACTAGACTATAGACTAGACTATAGACTAGACTATAGACTAGACTATAGACTAGACTATAGACTAGACTATAGACTAGACTATAGACTAGACTATAGACTAGACTATAGACTAGACTATAGACTAGACTATAGACTAGACTATGACTAGACTATAGACTAGACTATAGACTAGACTATAGACTAGACTATAGACTAGACTATAGACTAGACTATAGACTAGACTATAGACTAGACTATAGACTAGACTATAGACTAGACTATAGACTAGACTATAGACTAGACTATAGACTAGACTATAGACTAGACTATAGACTAGACTATAGACTAGACTATAGACTAGACTATAGACTAGACTATAGACTAGACTATAGACTAGACTATAGACTAGACTATAGACTAGACTATAGACTAGACTATAGACTAGACTATAGACTAGACTATAGACTAGACTATAGACTAGACTATAGACTAGACTATAGACTAGACTATAGACTAGACTATAGACTAGACTATAGACTAGACTATAGACTAGACTATAGACTAGACTATAGACTAGACTATAGACTAGACTATAGACTAGACTATAGACTAGACTATAGACTAGACTATAGACTAGACTATAGACTAGACTATAGACTAGACTATAGACTAGACTATAGACTAGACTATAGACTAGACTATAGACTAGACTATAGACTAGACTATAGACTAGACTATAGACTAGACTATAGACTAGACTATAGACTAGACTATAGACTAGACTATAGACTAGACTATAGACTAGACTATAGACTAGACTATAGACTAGACTATAGACTAGACTATAGACTAGACTATAGACTAGACTATAGACTAGACTATAGACTAGACTATAGACTAGACTATAGACTAGACTATAGACTAGACTAGACTAGACTATAGACTAGACTATAGACTAGACTATAGACTAGACTATAGACTAGACTATAGACTAGACTATAGACTAGACTATAGACTAGACTATAGACTAGACTATAGACTAGACTATAGACTAGACTATAGACTAGACTATAGACTAGACTATAGACTAGACTATAGACTAGACTATAGACTAGACTATAGACTAGACTATAGACTAGACTATAGACTAGACTATAGACTAGACTATAGACTAGACTATAGACTAGACTATAGACTAGACTATAGACTAGACTATAGACTAGACTATAGACTAGACTAGACTAGACTATAGACT